ACACACACACACACATACACTCCCATCGTTACATACCTTTTACTCTAAGAAATATATATTATATCTAATCTAAATATTATATCTAAATATTATATCTAATTTTATATCTAATGCGTTAAGTAATTTAGTTATGGAATAATTATTAAATAAAGGTAATTATATGTTTCAATGAAATATTTTAATTAATTTCTTTCATTCCCTCGTATTTCGGCCCTGCTAAAAAAAGATTCGCACACGGTCCTTTCCCGGGTAAAAGCGATTCGGTTCGTTGACCTACAATGGGACCTACGATCGTACGACTCTTGAAATCGGAGTCATAGCGTCTTATCGGGACGTTGACCTATATTTTGGAGTCACCTAAGTGCGTTCGACTCGCTCCATCCCCTTCCACTCGGATGCATGCGAGACATAGCGTCTGCTCTAACGTCCTTCCATACTCCATCCTTCTCATTCCTTCTTTCTCTCAAACGATCCATTCATACATTAGGAGTTGGACGTAACACATTCTATCCCCTTTTTGTCCCCTTCTTACATATTCATACTGCCATGGTATTTCTCCTTCTGAAGTTAAAATATAATTTGTGAGTTTATTTCGTTGTTCATATGCTTCAATTGTGGCTCGACGAGCATTGCATGGTTTGCCTTGTTTGGAATGCCTTGAATATGTACATCATTTTCTCTCCAAGCACCGTTTATTACATCTCCATTATTTTCAACATCAGTGAAGTTAGGAGGACAATAAACTCTATTATAGGTTGCAGACTGCTGTTCTTCAAAACTTTTTAAAAAGTTATGAAGGCATATTGTACTCAAGATTATACTGTCAACAGTGTTAGGATGCATGCATATAGGTTTACGTAGTACTCTCCAACGAGAAACTAAAATTCCAAATGCATTCTCTATCATCCTTCGTGCACGTGATAATCTATAGTTAAATATATTTTTGTTTTCATTTAAGTTTCTGCCTGAATAAGGTCTCATTAGATTCATTGATAAAGGAAACCCTTCATCTCCAATAAAAAAATATCCAGCTGTTTCATTACTTCCTGGCAATTTTTCCTTTTTTCTCAGCACATTCAACTTTTGTGATCTTAACATACTTCCGAATTCAGATTCATAAAATATACCTGCATCATTTTGACTTCCATACGAGCCGATATTGACTAAGGTGAATTTATAATTTGAATCACAAGCAGCCATTAATACTATACTAAATGTTTTTTTATAGTTGTGGTATAAACTGCCAGATCGTGAAAGAGCTTGAATAACGCAATGTTTGCCACCAAACGAACCCAAACAATTTGGAAAATTCCACTTTTCAAGGAATCCTGCACTAATTCGCATAAAGTCTGCTACAGATGGTGGCTGTAATATTTTAGGAAGTAAAACACTCGAAATGGCTTTAGTTGTTTCTTTTATAATAGCACGTACTGTCGATTCTCCAATACGGTATGCCATTGCTAAGGATACTTGATCACCAGTAGCTAAATATCTAAAATAATAATTTAATTTAATATTTTTATTTCATTTTTCTTAAAAATAATGCTGACGTATTATTTAGATACAATTTTTAAGCAATTTTGATCTATAATATTTATATGATAGACATATTTTTATAACAGTCAATTATTTTAGTAATTTATTTCTGTATTTAAATATTTATGTTAATTAATGATATTATTTTTTATAATGAATGTTTTTATTGATTACAAATATAATATTTTTCAAAAATATATTAAATTGGATAAAATACATACAGCAGAACTATATACAGAATATGTATAGCAGAAATATATACAGAATATTAAATAACATATACCTGAGTGTTAAAGATAAGCGTAGTTCAGGTGGCAGAGCTCTCCAGTTTTGTTTTTCAAGTTTTGGAGATATCATTTCTAGTAAAATATAAAAACACTCGAGTGTCATTCTTGTATATTTAAAAAACATTTTACTGTCATCCTTTAATACTTGAAATAAAGCAACAAAGTCTCCTTGTTGACATCGATTTTCATATATAGGCCTCACCCAAAATCTTCTCTGTTTACGTTGTTTTCTTTTCAAGATAACTAATAATCCAGACCACAAGGCAATTGTTAAAAGAAAAGTAGAATCGTCCCATATATCATCCATTGCTACAAATATAAATTATATACTTATTTTTTAATAATTTTATTGTATAGAAAAATAAAAAATTTGAAAGGACTGAATCATGTTATATCAAAATTTGATTCATCTTTTATATCTGTTTGACATTATTATAGCTACTTACTGTAATATGTATGTCTATTGATAATTGTCTCAACTATAAGAGTGCCGTTTTTGGCAGTTCCTCGATAGAGTGATCCGGATGATCTTGAATTAATTGGTCCAAAGTTTCCGCGTATAATTTGACAAGATAATGCAAACAGTTTACTGTAATTTAAAAAAACATTTAAAGCTCTATATTATATTAAATATATTTTTATAAATTGTATTTTATTAATAAAATCATTGTATATACAGAATAACATGTTGATATATTTTAAAAGATTAATCTTTATAATATTGCTTAAGATTCATTAAAACATTAATTATTAGCGTATTGTGTAACATGATAACAAATGATAAATGTTAAAATGAAAGTATATAAATATCTTTACAACAGCAAAGAAGCTTATCACTTTTTAATATTTCATATGAACGATATTATACACAAAATAAAACCATTCAAAATTAATATACATATTTTCTTGTAAATATATAGCAAATAACCTCACTTTCACGTTTCTTTTGAGTAAATCTCTAATAACAATTTTCGTTTTAAAATAAATTAAATGAAAATTACATTGTACATTAATCAATTAACGTATATTCATACTAAGTTTTTGAGTTTTATATTATTACTTACCTTAATTTATGTTCTTTCTTCTTATTCTCTCTAATTACCCCCAAAACCGGTTACCATAATATTATTTCCTTTTAAAGTAATATTCTAATTGGCTTATCGGCTTAAGTTTACGTCTCAGAAACTACGGACGCTTACGATTGGTTGAATTGTTCTATACACTCATCCATTGGCTAATTCTTACGGTACGTCTTAAGGTTACTGTTACGGAATTTTGTGTGCGGCAGCCCTAATGGCCTTTATTGCCGTGTCTCCAAGAGACGGTAAACTTTTGCGCGTCCAGTGTGCAGGAGCCATTGCTCAATAGAGGAGAGGGAGCACGAAAAGGAGAGAGAGAGAGAGAGAGGAAAGTAGCTATGAAGGAGAGAGATTGTATTAAGTTTTCTTTTTGTTTGATCAACATAGCTCGCCTCACAGTCGTCACAAGAAATCTTGTATACCACATTCTGGTTGGATAGTAAGTCTAGTCTATCCTTTCCCTTCTTAATGAGACCTTTAAGGGAATGCTAAAATTATTCTACAATTTAGGGATGTGCGATCTCCATTAATTGAATTGATCTCTGAATCGGATTGATTGAAATCGATTTACCAAAAAATCGGAGCTGAATGAATCGATCTATTGGAGATCGATTCAATTAAAATTTTTTTAGTAACATCTCAGTGAAATATCACAATGGAATAGATATCGAATCAACATCAATTTGATGATTTCAGCGTCGAATCAA